TATAACGTTATATTATTTCTTCGTAAATGTTCAGTGAAGTTTTCTGAGCCTGTAGTTTTTTGGTTTGTTTGATGAAAAGTTTTTTTTACTAGGAAATCAGTTCCTTGCAGATGTAGGTGACTGTTCAGGTCTGTGACTGTTTCTTCTCTAAGGGAACTTTGTCAGTATGTGTTTCAAGAAATGTTTCTGTTTGGTATAACTTATTGAGTTTGCGGACATAAGGGCTGTTTGAAATGTTCCTTTGTTGTATGTTAAATGTCTGTCAAGTCTGTCAAGAGGCTCCCTCTTTTATTCTTGGTATTTGTAATTCATGTATTTTTTTTTCTTGGTTAGTCTGTGAGGAGTTTATCAAATTTATTCTTTCCAAAGAACCAGCTTTTGAGTCTTGGGTAGGGAGAAGAAGAGTGTTATGGATTTCCTCTGTTGTTTTTCTACTCTGAATTTCACTGAAATCTTTATTATTTCCTTCAGGTTGCTTCTGGAATAACTTGTTGTTCTTTTTCCTGTTAGATCATTAATTTGACAATCTTACATCTTTCTCTAAGCACTGCTTGGATTGTATCTGCACTTTTATATTTTCTTTCATTCTGTTCAAAATGTTATAATTTCCCAATACCTTCCTTATTGAGCCTCAGGTGATTTAAAAGCGTGACATTTAATTTCCATGTATTTGTGGAGTTTCCACATATCTCTCTGTCATGCTTTTAGTTGAATTCTGTTACAATCAAAAGACTTATATTTGGATTCATGGTTTTTTAAAAACTTTGTTAGGTTTGACTTTTGGGCCCAGAATTTGGCCTGTTTTGGTAACTATCTCACTTGAATAGAAAGATTATGTACTCTGCTATTTTAGGGTGGGCAGCCCTATATATCTCAGAGAGGTCAAGTTCGTTGATCATGTTCGGCTCTTCTGAATCTTAATTTTTACATTTCTATTGATCTCTGAGAAAGGAATATTGGAGTCTTTCATTGTCATAGTGAATTTGTCTGTTCTCCCTTGCGTTCTATCGGTTCTTGCTTTATGCACGGTGACACTTTTATCAGGCGATTGGTAAATTGATCCCTCTGTTATTAGTTAGTGTCCTTATTGTTTCTTGTTCTGAAATATACTTTGCTCAACATTATAATTTAGCTGTTCCAGCTTTCACTTGATTCGTTTTGTGCTTTCTAGTTAAAATTTTTCAGAGGCAGGACATTCATGTCTTACCTTGTTGCAAGTAAGTGTCTAACACATTTGCATTTAACATGTCGCGGATCAGTGAGGCCTGGGCCTGCCATCCTGCCGCTTATTTTCTGTCTGTCGAGTCTATTCATTGCTCTTTCTTCTTCTTCTGTCTTTTCTACCATTGAAACGAAACGAATGTTGCCTTTGACTCCGTCTCTCCTCCTAGTCGGCCTCGCGCGACCCTTGTTTATTAAGGGAGGCTGCGGGCTTGTGTGTGTCTCACTGCCTCAGTCTGCTTGCAGGACGGCACACGCTTGCATAGTTTCGGACCCCACCACAAAGCGGGGCGCCTTCCCCGGCCCTTGTGCTGTTGTGACGTATTGTGCTTCTGTCTGCACGATAAATTCTTCAATACATTGTTGTTATGTTCCATTAAACAATTATATCCCAAAGAGCCTATGAAAGGCAGAGGGGCCGAGTTTTGCTTGTTTCGTTTTCTGAGAGGTTGTGCAACATTACTGTATGTACAAAAATAGCCCAAAAGTGAATTCGGCAGTCAGTCCGCATACACAGCCACCGCTTCTGGTCGTCCACGACAGTGTTGTGACCGCGCGGAGCGGGCGCCAATGCTAACGCCCCAGCAGAAGCCGCGACCAGGGCCCCCTAACTTACCGCAGAAGGGGCAGGTGTTGCCATGTAAAATTCCGCTGAAACAGGTTCAAGGCCATTTACATTCCCGACAGAGAAACAAGCCTTGGAGAACAGTTCTATTTGTTAGAAATATGTGACCTTTCTCCCAAATGTGCTCTTAGACTTTTGTTTTACAAAATCCAAAAGGAAAATATGGTGTCAGTACAATAGGGGTTATATCAATAAGAGGAACATACAAGGGTATAATTTAAAAAAAGTTATAATTAAAATTCAGGGAAACCAAGACCTTAAGATGTAAAACCTCTTGTTACTGTGGGGACGGGCCCTCCACGCGGAGTCGGGTGACACACAGTTATTTTCAGGCAGATTACGTTAGGCTGCTGGGACAGAGCCTACAGTGGGCACCGTTAAACTCGAAAAAGCTCTAGGTTCTACTGCTCCCTGCAAAGCTGTCACTCTCCTGGGGCTCAGTGAAGGGGAGGAAATGCCAGTGGAGAAGAAACGCCCTGGGCAGGGCTCAGAGACCCATGGGCTCCTCTCCCTGCCGGCTTGGGGCCGCGGGGCGCTCCCGCGAGGCTCCTGCAGAGGGCGCTCGCCACCCCCGCGCGCGGCTGCGCAGGAAGTCCCTGTCCCTTGGATTCCGGGGTGCTGTCACCCCCGGACTCGACATCTCTTTGCCTTTTCTACAATCACCTCCTTTTTTAAAAAGATTTTATTTATTTGTGCATACAGAACTGGGGTACAGGCCAGAGGCTCAGGGGCGGCGAGAGGCTTCACCAGAGACAGAGTGGGGAGCAGGACAGGCAGATCGACGAAGTCCACTGCTGAGGGGAGCAGCGGGCGGTCAGCAGAGGTCTGCCGCGCCATGTGGTCACCTCCGGGGCAGGCAGGGATGGAACTCAGGCGGAAGTGGCTTAAGCTTCTCGGTGCTGTGCTTCAACCCGCTGCGCCACCAGGGTGGACCTACAATCACTTCTTTACGAGCTGGAAACGTCCAGGTTTTTGTCCTAGACGACGCTGCGCTGCTTTTCGTTTTGCTTCCCCCGCCCTCTCTGACCGGCCACTGGCTCACCCCGGCCCTCTTCCCCAGTGGGGGCCGGCGGGCGTCCTGGCCCTTTGGCCCAGGAAGAGGACTTCTGCTTGTCCCCCGTGTGAGTCCTTTCAGTGTCCTCTCCTTCGTGAGGGTCCTGACCGCCACTGGCATTGTTTCTGGCTCACAGTGCCTACGTCACGGGGTGTGCCCAGGTAGGTGACTTTTAAAATGGTATTGCCGCGGCCCTCCCTGGCGGCACAAAATGTTAAAGCGTAGCGCTACGAAGCATCGCAGCCACTGCAGCTGGGGTTCGCTCCCCGGCCAGCGCGGTGACCCACAGGGCGCGGCAGACCTCTCCTGACCCGCCTGCTGCTCCCCTCAGCCATGCACTTCATCGATCTGCCTGTTCTGCTCCCCACTCTGTATGCATAAATAAATAAGTCTTAAAAAAAAGTTATTGTGGCTATAGCGTGGTACTAAAGCAGGCAATACAGAAGGAAGTCTGACACCGTTTCTAAATGATTACTTACTGCTTTTTAATCTCTTCCTGCTGGTAGGTTGTGGGTCTGTCTTGAACACAAAGGGCGAAGTGGAAATGGACGCCAGTATCATGGATGGGAAGGACCTGTCCACAGGGGCCGTGTCTGCTGTGCGCTGCATCGCCAACCCCATCAAACTGGCTCGGCTCGTGATGGAGAAGGTGGGGTGGCCTTTCACTGTCGGGGGGCTTTCCTTTCCTGGGCAGTTTTACTTCAGTCTCTGCAAAGAGGCCTAACCGGAGGGGAATACTTGCCGTCAGTGTTCTCAAATTATCCAAAGGAAGAGGACAGTGTCCTTAAGGTTGTGCCTCCGTAAACAGTGTATCCAACAGCCTCTTGTTTTTACGTGGCTCCCTGTGTTTTCTTCAGCCCTCTCACCACTCCTAACATCTGTTCCATAACATGTGTCTATTCAAAATGAAGTTTTCTAAATTTAAAGTTTCACTTCTAGTCATCTTCTCGCATTTTGAGGTCCTGTGAAAATACAAAATTCAGACAACCAGGCTGTCCACCATTCAGAGAAGCCACTGTCATTGTGTTTTTGAGCTTTTGTACCCAGCGAGAAGCAATTGTTTACATACTGTGGGAAAGTCAAAAAGATTTTCACTTTTTCAAAAAGCTAACCATTTTCCCACTTTGTTCTGGCTGAAGACGCCCCACTGCTTTTTGACTGGCCAAGGTGCAGCGGAATTTGCGGCCGCTATGGGGGTTCCAGAGATTCCAGCCGAGCAGCTGGTTACAGAGAGAAGCAAGAAACGCCTAGAAAAAGAGAAACTTGAGAAAGGGGCTCAGAAACCCGACTGCCGAAAGTAAGTGTCCTCCGGACCGACATTTTGGGGAGGGTTTGACATATGTCCGATGATGTGCATTTCTTAAGTGTTACTTGGTATTTTCTGTCTCCATGCAAAGAAATAGAAATACTAAAGAGTAGAAAACTGCTCTTTTGCTTCTTAAATTTGACCTCATTTATTTCTCCTATGGAGAGTAGCTCACCTTGGCTCCAACACCATTGAGCAGAGATTGTTCTGTGTGAATGCAGCAGCTCCTGAATAGTTCTTATTCAGTATGCTGCAGTTAGCAGTCTGGACAGGCTCGCTAAGATCTAGTTTCCTTCCTCTTTTATTTGGAATTGAGAGGTTTTGGCTAGAGCTATCAGACAAACACAGGACGTGAGAGGAATCCAAATAAGAAAAAAAGAAGTGAAACTCTCCCTATTTGTAGATAATGTATTATATGTGGAAGAGCCTAAAGACTCCAAAATTTTAAGAAACAAGAAGTTAATATAGCAAAGAGGCCACAAAAGCAATATACAAACATCCAACTAGAACAACGAATAAGAAGTGAACAAAATTAAGAAACTAACCGCATTCACAATAGCTTCAAAAAGAATTAAATACTTGGAGGGGCCCTCCCTGGTGGTGCAGTGGGTTAGAGCACAGCACTGCAAGCTAGCCACAGCCGCCTCAGCCCAGGTTCAATCCCTGCCAGGGGCGTGACCCGCATGGTGCAGCAGACTTCTCTCTTCTCACCTGCTACTTCCCTCGGCAGTGTACTTTGTCAGTCTGCCTGTTCTGCTCCCCACTCTGTCTCTGGTGAATCCTCCCACCGCCCCTGCACCTCTGGCCTGTACCCCAGTTATGTATGCATAAACAAATAAATCTTTAAAAACAAAAAAAGAATTAAATACCTCGGAATCATCCAAACACAGAAGGTAAAGATGAAACAAATGAGAGCCAGAGCATGTCATGAAAGAACTTTGCTCGCAACTCAAGGAGCTGCACAGATTCCCCTGCTCACGGGTAGGAGAATTGGTACAATCTAAATGACTCTCCTGCCTACGATGACATGCAATTTAATGCAATTCATGTCAAAATCCCAACAATATTTTCCTAAGAAGCTCAACGAAAGTATTGAGACTTACACGGAACTCCAAAGGCCTCGAATTGCTAAAGCTTAAGTGAAGTAACTTGCTTTGACTTAAGTGGAGCCATCGCATGACCCGACTCAGACTTACTACAAAGCAGTGGTGTTAAGACCAAAATGGTATCAGCACCAAAGCAGACACACGGACCGATAGAACAGAGCCAAAATTCTGGAAATAAATCCATGTCCCTTTTGTTAAATACCCTTGACCATAAAATGGGAGGAAGTCAGTCTCGTTAAGAAATGGTGCTGGACGGGACTATGGTGGTGGCACACGGGTGATTTGGTGATGGGAAACCCGCGGGGATTACAATCGAGATGGAAAAAAAAATGTGCAAAATGATGTAAAAATAAACTTTTGTAATAATTAAAAAAAAAAGAAATGGTGCTGGAAAACTTGGAAAGCCACTCGTAACAGAATATTTGGATTACTATCTAACACATATACACAAACCCAATTAGATTAAAGATGTAACATACGCTCTGTGACAATAAAATGCACAGAAGAAAACTTCAGCAATACTTCCTACGATGATAACAGTGAAGATATTTTTGGTGACTCAACCCCTATGGCATGGGAATTAAAAATGAAACTAAGCAATGAAGATTATCTAGGCTTAAAAAGCTTCTATGTAGATGGGCTCCCCCTGGTGGCACAAAGGGTTAAAGCACTGCATTATGAAGCTCTTCCAAGCCACTGCAGCACGGTTTGCTCCCTGGCCAGGGAGCTGACCCACATGGTGCAGCAGACCTCTCCTGACCCACCCACTGCTCCCCTCAGTGGTGTACTTCATCACTACTCCCCACTCTGTTTGTGGTGAATCCTCTCACCCACCACACCCCAGTTCTGTAAGCATAAATAAATCTTAAAAAAAAAAAAAAAGCTTCTATGTAGCAAAAGAAAGCCCAAGATGATAAAATAGACACCCCAAGGAATGGGAACAAATATTTACCTAACAGATAACTGATAAGGTATTAATATCCAAGTTATATTTTTAAAACTCATACAATTCACATACAAAAAAAAAAAACAATGAATAAATGAACAGGCAGTTCACTAGGATACTCAGAAGGCCAAAAGGCAAGAAAAAAAATGTTCATCACTACCTCCAATAGAAGAGATGCACACTCAAGCTCCACGCGATGCCACCTCATGCCCATGAGCACAGCACGTACCAGCAAGACCCCCAACAACATGTTGGGGGGTGTGGAGAAAAGGAGCCTATTACACTGTTGGTAGAAATGTGAGCTGGGAAAACCGTTCGGAGCAATCTGGATCTACCTTAAAATGTTCAAAGGAGAGTGGCCCTCCCTGGTGGCGCGGCGGGTTAAAGCGCAGCACTGAGAAGCTAAAGCCGCTTCCACATGAGTTCGATTCCCGCCTGCCCCGGAGGTGACCACATGGCACAGCAGACCCCTCCTGACCTGCTCCCCTCAGCAGTGTATTTCGTCGACAGCAGTGTATTTCGTCGATCTGCCTGTCCTGCTCCCCACTCTGTCTCTGGTGAAGCCTCTCGCCATCCCTGTGCCTCTGGCCTGTACCCCAGTTCTGTATGCACAAATAAATAAATCTTTAAAAAAATTTAAAAAAAAATGTTCAAAGGAGAAAGACCATATGGCCTGGCCGTCCCGCTCTTGGGCACAGAGCCACAGATGATGAGGCCACCAGCAGAAACCCGTGCATTCTACACATAAAAGCCGCATTATGTACGGTAGCTCGGACGTGGAAGCAGCCTGAATCTCCTTCAGTGAGTGAGTGGATCGAAACGTAGTACATACAAGGAATACTGCAGAGCCAGAAGGATGACACGCAGCTATCTGCAACAAAATAGAGGGAATTTGAAAAAATCACATGCAGAAAACAAGATAGAAAAGACAAATACCACACAGCCATAAAACTGCTTCCCATCAAACACTCTGATTGGATGTCAACAAACATCCAGGGCTCTGAGGTGAAGGGGAGGGGCGTGGGGGACGCGAGATGGGGTTGGCGGTGAAACCTGTAAAGACGTTACTGACAGTTCCAGCTGCTGCTCAGCAGAGTGGCTTCTGCAACACAGCGTGGGCTGCACGACCAGAGAGGCTGTGCTGTCTGCTTTGCCGCTAGAAAGTGCAGGCGCTCCCTGGAGGCGCAGCGGGTTAGGCCAGCACTGCAAGTGAGCCAAAGCATGAGTTCGATCCCCGCCTGCCCCGGAGGTGACCACATGGCGCGCAGACCTCTCCTGGCCCGCCCGCTGCTCCCCTCAGCAGTGTGCTTCCTCCATCTGCCTGTTCTGCTCCCCGCTCTGTCTCTGGTGAAGCCTCTCGCCGCCCCTGCGCCTCAGGCTTGTACCCCAGTTCTGTCTGAATAAAGAAAACTTAAAAAAAAAAAAAAAGTGTGATGTGTATACAAATGGCGATTATCAGAACGTAGTGCTCCCTGAAATGATGACCAGGCAATTGCCTTTTATTATTAATTTATTTTATATATCATTATAAATTTGTTGTATTTTACTGGAATTAGTGGTTTTAACTTCATTTGCATGTAAGTGGCCTATGTGTGTGCCACCCCGGCGTGCGTCCCCATAACTGAATTATCTCCACTGCCAACTTGCCAGCTTGCAGACACGTGGCCAGCACAGCGTTGCGATGTTTTCCAGGAACCCCGATCTGGAGAGGGCAGAGGTGTGTGTGACAGGCGTGGGACGAACATTACATCCAGGCCCTGCAGGAGGGGCCTGGGCGCTCGGCTGGCGGGCGGGAGCGGAGGACGCTGTCCCTTCAGCCACAGCTCCCTGCGGCTTAGCAAGTCCGGCCATTGTGCACTTGTGGCTCATTCTTTTGGGGCATTTGCCTGTCTTTGTCCTGTGACCACTTTGTCTCTTGTGCCGTCAGCTTCTCATCGCTCTTCGGGTCATCCTTTCGGTTAAAAAAAAAGGTTGCCAATTTTTGGTTTTATCTGGCTTTCACTTTGCCTACGG